ATATATAAATATATATATAGAAAGAGAGAGAAAGAGAGAGGGAGAGAGACATTACCTCAGTTAAACAATTACTAAAAAAAGTTGAAAGGATAGGAAAGTAAGTAGTGGAAAAATAGTTTTAAAAGCTAATTCCCTTTTTATTTGGACTGGAATAGAAATTCCTAAAGGGGTAGTTTTGAAAAATGCCACAAATATGGACTGTATTAATTTTTGACATAATTCTGGCTAAACCTTCTATTTAAAGACTATCCTGTCCACAACAGATTCTTCACAGGAATACTGAGATACCATGATTAAATAAATATGCTATTCTAATGTCGCTTTATGAAAAAAGATGCTACCAATAGGTTTTATGTGCATGCTCATATTTATGCCTCTCAATTTTTAGGACATAATGATTTCCAAACAACTGAGACTCCCTTTGCTTGAAAGTAATAAATGTTATGACCTAGTGAAGCTCTTATGTTTTATGTCACAACACGTTAAAAAAAGTCATTTCCCATCTATGTAATAAGCCCAAAACTCTTGGTTATAAATAAATGATGTGAAAATAACATTATTTCCTGTATAAATCTAGTTATAAGATAAATCTAGTTATAGGGAGTAGTTTGGATAATTCAAATTCAAACATATTTATTGGGCACTTTGCCATGTGTCAGGCAATAATGTCACTTAATCCTCAGAGTCTCTTGGAGAGGGATGTATTACTAATCCCAGTGTACATCTGAGGAGGTGTGAAGTCATTTTTAATGTTGGACTATTAATAAATGGCAAAAATGGGACTCCAATCACGTCTTCAAACCCAAAGGCTATGTTTTATCCATGATACTTCAGGAAAAGCAAAATTCATGATTAATTATTACCAGTGCATATTCTGAGGGAATTTCCACTTCACTATTGCTTAAGTAGGCTTCCTCCATGGGTCTGAGTACCAAAATAACAAGGCAATTTTTGAGGAAATAATTCAACAAACCAAAAAATTATCTTGTGCAAGGGTTGGAATGAACAGAAACTTCTGAGTTCCTCATCACACTTTTCTAGGTATTTGTGTGATTTACCATGAGTGTGCATTATTTTCACATTAAAACAAAATTATTTTCACATTAAAAACAAAATAAATTAAATTTTAATATACTTCAGGTTTCAAAACAACATGTACTATCATCTTTTATCACTTTTATAAAATGGTATGCTACAAAATAATATAAAGTATATGTATGTACCCAAATGTTGATAGTGGGTACCTCTGGGTTGTTATTATAAGTGATTTTAACATTTTCTTAAAAGTGTTCTTAACAGTTTTTTAAAAATAGTTTGTTTGGTTTTTTTGCACACCTGGATCTTTTTTCCTTATCTTTATCATGATTTACTTTAATAATCAAGAAAAAGATCCACAAAAAGAAATACACTTTCCATTTTGAAAATACATTTGACCTGTACATGTACTCCTATTTCCTAGGTAAAATTTGGGTACCCTCTGGAATATTTCAGTCAAACCTAGAAGGAGAAATCACTGAGAAAGTGGGCATATTTTGAATTCTCTGCAGGTACTTAATAGAAAAAAGAAATACCAACTGCCAATATACATATGAAGAGATACTCAACTTCTCTAATAATCAGAGAAATGCAAATTAAAACCCAGAGATATCAATAAAGCATGTGTGCGTGCACACACACACACACACACACACCCTACACTGTCAGATTTGAAGACTGATGATATACAGTGTTGGCAAAGGGCTGTGATAGCAGACTTTTGCCTACACTGCTGAGGAGACAGCTTTTTTTGCTCAGTAATTTGGCACTATCTGTCAAAACTTTTGAATGCCCAGTATTTTTGGCCAGTAATTCTACATCTAGGAACATATTCTCTGGAAATACATAGGTACTTATTGCAGCACTTTTTGTAACTGAAAAACTGAAAAAAATTTTAAATGTCCTTCCATATGGAAATAATTAAATGAGTTACGACACATGTATAACATGGGATGCTCTGCCGATGTAAAAATGAGTGCAGTTCCTAGGTGTATTCCAAAGCAGAGAACACCAAGACAACTTGTTTTTTTTTTTTTTTTTTACTGTACACAGAGAAGGGCTTGAAAGAAGACACGGTCAGCTTTGATTGTGCTTACCAATTAGGAGAGGGGAGGTGAAGAGGAAACTTTCACTTTTTACTTAATATATTTAATAGTATTTCAAAAGATGTTTACAATGCTTAATAATGTATTTCAAATTAAAAAAAATCAGAATATAGCTAAAATAATCCCAGATACCTATCCAATGAGTTGACTTAAATTCTATACTTTTCTCTAAGTCAGTAAAAATTCCACTTTTGAAAAAAGGATTCTGCTTTGTAATGTTTTCCAGGTTCCTAAACTATGAATGGGTTTCCATATTGTAAGCTCTTTCTCTTGCTCCACCTTCCCTAGGTAGTAAAGATAGGTACTTACCACAAAAAGCAATCTGGCAACACATTATGTTATTTAAAAGAAATTCTTTGAACTCATTCAAGTGTGCTTTTACATTTCTTAAAAGGCTCCTAATTAAAAATACTTTTTTAAGCCAAGATAAAACTGCTAGAAAACAATTCTGAATTTATGTAGTGAAGAAACTGCTTAGAAAGAATCTGATTCAAAGAAAATGCTGCATTAGGTTTTTGCATAATATTTTTATGCAGGGTACCAGCATTAGAGCAGGAAGTCAGACAGACCCAAGTTGAGTCCATGTCTTTCACTTCACATTATGATTTCAGACAAGATACTGAACATCTCTGAGCCTCCGTTTCCTCATCTATAAAATGGGTTAACTGTAATATCTTACTACATAAACCTAAAACCTTACCACGTCATTAGCATCTAATACATATTATTTTTGTTTTGGTTCAGAATTACACAGTATTTAGCAAATCAACTAAGGTAGACTGTTTTTCAAATACTGCATTTCCCTTGAAATCACCAATTATAGATTCCTGGATCCATTTATTTCTTTAAGATTAATAAAGTTTACTAATTTAAAAAGTAATAAGGGTATATACCTTAAACTTTATGTCAATTATATCTCAATAAAACTGGAAGAAAAAAGTAATAAGGGTAAATTATGCTAAATATAAGAAGTACAGATAAAAGAGAAGAAAACAAAATATCTCCTTCACCTAATCAGTCAGCTGGAAGATGTTTATTAAGCACCTCTTTAATGTGCCAGGACCTATCCCAGGCACTAGGCACACACAGGATAAATAAGATAGATATGGTCGCTATCTTCATAGCCCCTGGTTAAGGATTAATAGCCTAGAAATAAGTGACAATAAGCCCAGGTACCTATCCACATGCCCACCCCCCCACCTCTGAATCTTGGACTCTTTGAACTATTTATAATGACCTTGTCATCTGGTGTCAAAGCAGTATATTAAAAACTTCCCAATGTGCTCACCTTCCTTATGCACTAGATCCCACCCCCTCTTGCTTACTCAGGGACATTGAGCCAGTAATTCTTTCCTTCTTCTACGTCATTAATTTTCCACTCTCCGCTGGATCATTCTCATATAAATATGCTGTTCTCTCTCCCAGTTAAGAAAATGACAACCTTCACCCAGCACCATGTCCCCTCCAGTTACTGGCCCCCTTCATTGCTCCCTTTTGTGGCATAACTCCTTGAAATAATTATCTACATATACACTAAATCTTCTCCATCCATTCTCTATTAAGCCCACTCAAATCGAGCTTTAATTCCACCAGCCCACTAATGCAGCTCTCATCAAGACCATCAGTGGTCTCCATGATGTTAAATGCAATGGCCAAGTCGCCATCTGCCTCTACTTGGCCATCAGAAGCAACTGACAAAACTTAACCTTAACACTTCCTTCCCTTTGATGTACATTCATGTGACACATGATGCCACATCTTTTGTGTTTTCTCCTATTTCACTGGTCCTTCTCAGTGTCTTTTGCTGGTACTTCTCTTCTCCTCCACCTCTTGATTAAATTGGAGAGGGTTAGGTCTCTATTTTTGGGTATTTTCTGTATTTACATTTACCACCTTTCTAATAGGCACATGAAAAGATGCTACTATTGCTAACTATCACAGAAATGCAAATCAAAACTACAATGAAGTATCACCTCACACCACTCAGAATGGCCATCATTAAAAAGTCCAAAAATGATAAATGCTGGAGAGGGTGTGGAGAAAAGGGAACCCTTTGTTGGTGGGAATGTAGTTTGGTGCAGCCATTATGGAAAACTATATGGAGATTCCTTAAAAAACTAAAAATAGTTTGACCCATATGACCCAGCAGTCCCACTTCTGGGCATATACGCAGAGGAAACTGTAATTTGAAAAGATAACTGCACCCCAGTGTTCACAGCAGCACTGATTACAATAGCCAAGACATGGAAACAACCTAAATGTCTACCGACGATGACTAAATAAAGAAGATGTGGTATATTTATACAATGGAATACTATTCAGCCATAAAAAGAATAAAATAATGCCATGTACAGCAACATGGATGGACCTGGAGATTGTCATTCTAAGTGAAGTAAGTCAGAAAAGAGGAAGAAAAATACCATATGATGTCACTTGTATGTGGAATCTAAAAAAATGAGACAAATGAACTTATTTACAAACCAGAAAGAGACTCACAGACATAGAAAACAAACTTGTGGTTACCAGTGGGTTAAGGGGAAGCGGAGAGATAAATTGGGAGTTTAGGATTTGCAGATACTATTACACATAAAATAGATAAACAGCAAGGTCCCACTGTATAGCATGGGGAACTATACTGAATGCCTATAATGAAAAAGAATATGAAAAGGAATACATATATGTATATGTATAACTGAATCACTATGCTGTACACCAAAAATTAACACAACATTGTAAATCAACTACACTTCAATTAAAAAAATACATTTGCTGCCTTTATGATCTCATGTTTTCTCATGGTTTTATACATCATCTCCATGCTGAACGCTTTCAAATCTGTATATTTGGTCCAGGCTGTTCTAACTCCATGCCCCAATATCTAACTGCATCTTCAGTATCTCCACTTGAATGTATAATAGATATTTTAAACTTACTGTCCTCATCTGAACATCTGATTGCCCCACTCAGTCCTGTTATACATGGGCCTTCTCCATCCCTACTGGTCATATTTTGATCCCAGCTGCTGTCTTATCTTTGTCTTCTCTCATTTTCTAGCACCTCACAACCAGTCAATAAATCCCACTGGAACTATCTTTAAAACATCCAAAATTAGACCACTTCTTACACCTCCACTACTATCACCTCAGTCCAACCCTCCTAAGAGGTCTCCTTCATCTGCCTTTTTTTCTTTTTCATTGTCAGTTTTTAACACAGCAGCCTGGCAGATCCTTTAGAATATCTATGTCAGATCATGTCACCATCTTCTCAAAACCCTTCAAGGGCTCTTCCATTTACTCAGAGTAGTGGAGTTTTTCATTAATCAAAAGGCTCTATATAACCAGGACCCCTTTATTTCTTTGACTGTATCACCTACATGTCTTTTGTTAGTCATTCTTCTTAATCATTCCAGCCATACATGTCCTCATTGCCGTCTTTTAAATGGGGTTCCCTCCCACCTGAGGGCCTCTGTTCTGGTTGAACCCTCTGCCTGGAGCACTGTCAGGTAACACTTGATTACCTCCTCAATTTCTTTCAATTCTTTCCTCCTGTCAGCAAACTGTTCTCCTTATTTAACACGACAACCGCCCCCTATTCTGCACTTCAGATCTCCCTTCCCCAGTTCTATTTTTCTTTTTCCCTTATCACTTTCTAACCTATTATATGATATTCTGGATAGTTTACATATATAGAATGTGTATTATTTTATATAAAAGCATATACGATGTATATAATAGATAGACATAACCTAATATGACATTAATTGCTATTGCTAGTCTACCTTCTCCTGCTAGAAAGTAGGTTCCTGGAGGGAAGGTAACCATCTCTTTTGTTTGTTGATGTGTTCAAGGCCTTAGAATAGTTAGTGTCTTGTACATAAAATAGAGGTTTAATCGTATTTATTGAATGAATGATTTAAAACCACTGACTTTATTGCAACTTCAAAATAAGCTAAATCCTACTATTTTAATCAACTTCTGCCTTCATCAGAACATCAACACAACCCTGAATAAGAAGAAAGTAATTGAGTGTGATGACAGAAATAGTCCCCTCTCCCCCGGTAAAACAGCGTTTTTCAAATAGATAGAAAATAATGTATTTGACCTTTTAAAGCTATAGCTAAATGATACTGAAGATGTGGTAATATCACATATCTAGTTTCAAATTCTGATTAAAAAATAATTTAAATGTTCTCAAGATCTTAGTTAAGTCATACCAACTAACTTTTATTTCTATCTTCACTGACTAAATGTACTTTTACATTGCATGATCTTTGCTACAAGTATCTTCCTTTATTAATAAAAAAGTAGAACAATTAGATAAAAATTCCAATAATAAAAACACTAACAAATATGAGAATCCAGGAAGACCTTAGAGACAAGGGCAGCTATAGCGCTGCAGTCTCCAGGTAGATATCGGCACAGTTAAGGAAGACAGATGTCCAACAAAAGAGAACAATTCCAAGGCCTCAAGTTAAATGTGAGTCAGTTGATGTTCCAGACAATCCAGGGAGCCAGGTAACTCTCAGCCTGTGCAGGAGAGGACACAGGCACAACACATATTCCAATGCCTGTTAAGAGCTGACTGGCTGTCTGATCTGTTTCAGACGAGTCTGCGGGTGGATCGCAGTTTCTACAGGCAGATATGGTCTAGCTTGTCTCTGGACTCCATGGGGTGTGCCTCCTAGGCAGATGCGCCATGGTGTTCCAGCTGTGTTGGGGCAAGAATCTGTATGATAAAGTAGGCAGAACACACTGACAGGAGGTACTGCCCACTGCATGGTAGGCAGACCTCCAATTTCAGGTCATCCTGAAGTGGCTAAAGACAGAGGAGAGAGGCCTTAGGATAATCAGTGTCCTACAGGATGGCCTCTATTCATGCTCACATCAGAAACCCCGAATTCTAGAAGCTATGTGAAAAGTCACCAGGTAGAGAATAAGACAAAAGGGCTTTTCCTTTATAAATGTCTATAATCTCCAATATGCCAGTTATACAGTAAGTAAAAGAAACTGACAGCCCTTTCTCACTGGCTAAAAAAATTCATTTGGTGAAGAGGATGTGATTGATTCCCCAGCAGGTAACCAGCTAGAGAGGGGCCAGAAGCTCTAGACAGGACTGAGCTGAACATTGAACTCTGAACATTAATTGATCCTTTAGATGGATATTCAAGTAAAAGAGGTTGCTTATTTGATGGAATATAAAATACTGACTCCAAATTCAAGCAGTCAGAGCAATACAAGATGTTATAATGTAACATATTTTTTGGAAAGGCATGCTTTTCAGAGAAAACCTTGCCATACAGAAATATTTGATTTTTAAAAATGTGTGCAAAATGTTCCTCTGATGTTATTTCTAGATGCATAAATTATACAAATTATCCAGAAACTATGTTAAAGATAAATACAGAATGACTACCAAACTACCAACCACAGAAAATGGCTCATCCTTCCAGGCTGGCCTGGTAGCTAAGCTCCCTCTAAATTACTAGAATTCAGAGTTCAGGCTTTGGAGATTTAAACTAAATAGGTAATTCAGAATGCAGCCAGAATCCTGTAGGGACAAGCCAGCAGGGATTCCTGTGGAAAACAAAGAACCTGTGCAATAAAACTGGAAAGATCAATGAGGTGTCTTGTGGAATAGGAGGGGAAAGTCTGCGTGTGTCTGGGGGCTTGGTGAGCAGAGAGGGGGGCAGAGAAGCTGCCTTCACAGTTAAACATTCTAAGGAGATAAAGAAGAGAATGCTTTGCCCAGCAGTAGAGCAAAGGACAAGTTCACAGGCATTAATTACGTTTCCCATAGAATTAACATAATTTCAAATGCAAAAACAAAGACTTTCTAGGTGCTGGGTAAAAGAATTCCAAATAGAGGATGAAATAAAATTTATAAGCTTCTTTCTCAGAGAGAATATCAACTTATCCAATATTGTTTACACTACTGGAAACGTTAAACACCGGCCTACAAACTAAAATTAAAACACCATCAGTACACTGAATTTAACAATAAAGACAGGGAGTAATTTGCCAAGGCAAGCCACTGAAGCAAATAATATAAACAAGTTCAACAGCCTATTCAACGCATTTTAGAGCAAAAAGAGAGAGAAAACTGGTTGCCTGCCAACACCTTGCCTCAGTGAGACAATGCACTCTGCTCTCCAGGAATAGTAATAGGTTAGAGGTTTGGGCTGGAGAGTATTGTAATTTCATGTTGTTTTATTAGGGATGGACTACAGGTCAATTACTTCTGGCATTTCATCCTTTGGGTTTATTGGCATATTACCAGCAACTTCGGAGATCTCTCAAGTTCAAGGATTAGGCATCACCTGTGGATTTATTCTGATTTCCACTACCTCCAGTTTTAAGTTTAGAAAGTTTCTTACAATTTGCTCCAGCATAGTCACTAACAGACACCCTCAACCAAGAATCAGTCTCATATAAAAATAAAAAAGCCCAGGTATGTATTAAATTAATTTTTTAAATTTATGCCATTTTTATATCACTATGGTTATTGGCGATTTCTTTCTATTGTTAATCATATCTCTAGCAGGTGACCATCTGGAATGCAAATATAAATCCACAGTCATTCAAGCAAGAAGGTTATGTAAAGAAAGCTGTGGAAAAGAAATTTTAAAATCATCACCAAAATGCATTTATCAAACATCCTGTTAGACATTAGCTGTACAAGTCACACTATAAATTATACTAAGAAACAAAATTTTTGTCTTCCTGGAGTTTACAATCAAAGACATCTAGAATGATCTATGTCAAGATGTTAAAAATACACAAGCATGAGGGAAAACTAACCAAATACTGGACAGAGAGCTCAGGCTTTTATATCATGTTAGGTGAAATGTCATACAGGAGTGAGGGGAAAAGTTGAGTGTGTACATGACTGGAAAGAAAACCAAGTTGATTAACCAAAAAATTAGTGTCCTAGTTGGTCAAGGTAAAGTAAAAAGCCAATTCTTGTCTATTCTAGCCTCTCTATCAGGGGAGGCATGGTAGATAACATGAAACCACAGAGCAAAGGAAATGCATATTGACCTGTCAGTTTTACTGAAAATACTTACAGAAAATGCTGTAAGTAATCAAAACACTCTGTTGTATTATAATAAACATAAACATATCGTGGAGTTGTATGCAAAGATTTGCATGAATTTTAAAGATAAAGGACAAGACTCAAAGAAAATTTAAGCCTGTCTTGGTTTTTTGAATACCACTTCACCTTCCCAACCTGCTACCCCATGATAGTTATTTCTTAAAATCACTAAGAATATTTCTTCACCAAGGAAGAAATACAAATGATCAATAGGCAGATGAAAAAAAAATGTTCAATATCACTAATTATCAGAGAAATGCAAATCAAAACTG